ATTTTTCCTAATCGATACCAGGAATTGTGTGAGTGATTCAAGAGAATATAAAGTCGACTAGATTTGTTGGTTTTGTTCTCTGATATCGTAATAGCGCGGCTCTGAGTTCCTTTTTGGCTGCACATGTAACAAGACCACACCCGTTGGAAATTTTAAGACGTCTCCGTCCCATTAACCCTGATTTTGTTCATCTCAGTAGTATTCCCATTGACCGCAATAGCGCCAAGCCATGAAAAAGCTTCTCCGCACGTATTCTTTGCGATGTCACGCTGCGCTGCTTCTTTTTTGCGTTGCGTGACATTCCAAAGAGCTTCCGCGTAGGATTCAAAGAACATAACACAGTGATACTATCTTATTAGTGCCAGCCCAAACAAAGCGTATGACCTCAAGCTAGGCGATGAAGATGTGTCTGTGTACTGTTCCATGAGTGGGGAGCTTGGAGACTGCGGTGGTGGGGGATGGACGCTGGTCATGAAGACTGACGGTGCAAAGGTATTTCAAACATGTTCAAGGTTTCAAAACCCTACCAACTCATTGTTTTTCGAATGTAACGAATGAAAACTTTGATTCGTTTCTCTCACTCCTGTTTGTTTCCCATTGTCTCTCTTAAATCAGTGAATGTTTTATGGAGCACATTAAAGGTCTTCACTCAACCAGGACGGGCGTAGTGAACATTCTCAGTATTTTCTGTATAATAATCTACTTGCGCTTCTAATTGGCTGAAAACGAATGCATTCTTATGTAACATGAGTAAAAAGTTGTAACAGGAGTGCAAATTACAAATAGCGCGTGCACGCTTTGAAAGTTCGTCTGTCTTGACTTTTGTGATGTTTTTTTTTCATGTACATTATTAAAAGCAGTAACATGATTTCTCTTGCTATTTGTCGTGATAAGTACTATCAATAACAAATTGCACTCCAAATCATTTTATCATCTGTACTTACAGAAAAGGAAAGTCTACCGTGTGTGTGATATTATTCGACCAACACTATGCAACCATGATCGAGAACCGGCTTTTAATACCCTCATCTAGTTTCGTCAAGTGTCTATCGTCTATTTTCTGCATATTTTTGTCGTTTTATTCCGCGTTTGCGAAAATGAAGCCATCGAAAAGAGGCCGTTCTGCACAATGAAAAGCTACCATATTATATGGCTTGCTAGATCAATTCTAAAAGCCTTGGGATAAGGCAAGAAAACAAACAGCGAGTCCGTCGAGGCCCTGCTTAACAGCATTTCGCAGGAAAGTCAAACTGAAAACTCCTCTCAGTACTTGAAAGACCGTCAGACGGGGAAACATTTGTAATCGATCGCAAGTCTAATTCCATGGAAGTTTTTGAGTGACCTCTCTCTCCCAGTTAAATCAAATTCAGAGATGCATTTCTCCAAAATTTCCTCTCATTATTCCTTATTATTTAAACGTATTTTGAAATACTGAATGTTTTATTAAAAGTGGAGCGTGACGAATTTATTCGTAGGAGGCGAAGCACTTCTTTTACGGATCCCTTCTTTGCGCCTTGTGAATGACACCGGCGTTTCACCGACACGAATAAATATGTTTTAGAATTCGAAGGTCTCCGTCTCTTCGCAATACGTTTCGACGTCAAGGATCGAGTCCCTGTTAAATCTCTTGCTTTTGTACACTTTTGTCAAGTATATAACTTCTGAGTCTGATATTTCAGCCGTGAATAATGATTGTATCGCGGCAAGAGAATATGTATTGTCTTGATCGTGGCTCAACGTAGCTGTTTGGCCGTCTTACAAATTCTTCCACATTGTCTTTGGTTCTGTTCCGCAGATAGAAAACGTCATCCAATGTAAGCGATTTAGTTTAGTTTTTCAGTGTGGTAAAACCGAAACCAAAGTAATCACTACGGCCAATCAAAAGAAAGAAAAATATCCCGGAGAGCCAATGAAAAATCATAGTAAAAACAATCAAACTGCCTAAAGCGTGGGAAAACGCAGGCGACCAAGTCGCGATTGGTGTTAGTTTTGTTTGATTGGTCGAAAGTGGCGCGAGTTTTCTGGACCAATCGCATGGTGAATTAAAGCAAAACCAACGAAATCTCGGATTACGTTCGACACTCAATTGAAAATTTCTCTGATAATGCACCTAACCGGTTAAGAGCTTAGCGCGAGTTTAATGGAGCACTCATAGAGCAAAGAGAAGCAATACTGGTGCAAACCCGGATTACTATAGACACTAACTTGAAAATTGCCCTATCTCCAATGCTCTGGATACTAAGTTAAAAATGTCCTTTTTCTCGCAGGACACCTTCAATTTTGATTCAAAAGCGTGGTCTTCCATGTCTCCAGTCTCTCCCGAAAATGGAGACACCGGGTTGGATGACCTGGAGACCCTGTTACCAACCTACTGGAGCACGTCCTTTTCCAAGATCTGCCTTGGAATGAAGGTCGATGGAGTAACCAGGTTCTTGCCACTGCATCAGAAAGCAGACTCGTTGTATGCCCTCATTGGTGACGGTCAATACCGTGCTACCTCGCTGGGTCGTGATGCATGGAAGAAGCTGATTGGTCCCAGTGCCTCCCTCCAGCGCAACTGTAATCGAGAAGGGTTTAATTCGCGGGGGAGTGGTAGCGTTAAGACTCGAATTGGAATCATCGCTAATCAAGAAGGAGATTGTAGAACCCCCGATTCCTTCATCGGATTTGGTGGGGCAGAACTGTCGTTCAAAAACGTGTGTGGAAACAGAGCTGCGTATTTTCCGGACCACGGAAACAAAAATACCAAGGCATTCGGATACATTTTCGTTCAGTAAAGACGCTGAACTGCTCTGCTCAAGGAAAAAGTTGCATGCGACATGGAGCAATGATCATGCTTTTATTTCAGTAATGGGGATTTAAGACGTCGGGTTTCACTTTTGCTGTTAAATAAAGTAACAATAAAAGTGGGTTAATGAACCAAAATATTGTCTCTTCATTTTTTTTCTTGTAGTTACTCGAAGGAGAATCTATCTTTTCCTCAAACCATATCAACATACTGTCTTTATGAGTGCTTTTCCTCTCTTGACAACAGAACTCGTTTAGTAAGGGCCAAATTCTAAAAACTAAAATTCCACAAAATAAATGGCA